CCCACTGGTTGGGGGATTAAGATGGCTGGTCCTAGAGGTGGGGTACACCCCTACCAGAATCTCCTCCACTCCACAGGGGCAGAATTCACCTGCTGGCAAGTCCGTCCATAAGAGGATTGGGGACAAGGCCAGAGTATGATAAACCAGGCAGAGTCATGGGACGCACAGGACAAAGAGCCCCTAGTGCCCAGAGGGGCTCAGCTCCTGCAGATCTGCTGTGTGCAGGGGTGGACAGGCGGCCTAGAGCAGGACCGGCAGCCACCAGCAGCACTGACAACATAAGCCACCGAATCTGTGTTAAGCCCTTTAGGTATATTAGACTTTCTTTTTTTCTTTCATTTTATAGATGAGAAAACTAAGGCTGAATTCTGTTTGAGTGGCCTGCCCAAAGCCACACAGCTGGTGGAGCCAGGCTGGGCGCCAGGCTTTATATTGGGTGCTTGAGCTACTAAGCCGCACTCCCTCATGTCTGTAAGTGGGCATTTCGTTAGTGCCCCCTCCAAGATGGGAATAATGAAAAGAGACAATGCATGTAAGACACGTGGGACAGAGGAAGGGCTCCGTAAGTGCTAGTCATCGTTGTTGTTGTTGTTATTGTGTAAGCATCCAACAGCTCTGCAATATTACCCTCATGAGCCCATTTTTACTGAAGAGGAACCAGAGACTCAGAGAGGTGAAGCAGTTTGCTCCAGCCTCGCAGCAAATTAGGTCAATATAACAGCAAAGCTTGGTATATAGTAGGTGCTCATTAACTATCTGGGGAAGAAAGTGAGCTTTGCAGCCATGAGCTCTAGAACTTGGCTACTCAAAGTGAGGTCCTCAGGCCTTCATCATCAGTATCACCTGAGAGCTTGAAGGGAATGCAGAATCTAGTGCCCCAGCCCAGAAATACCGGCTGAAAACCACATCTCCACTGGAGAGTGGTGTATACCCCTTCAAGTTTTAAGACATGTGGCTTTAAGGTCCCCAAGTCTGTGTTCTGCAAGAGATACAAGGAGGCAGCACCTTCGCCTCTCTGATTCACAGTGGTTTTTTGGTGGGGTTTTTCAGTTATAAAATAAGGGGGGAAATCTATACCTCATGGGGCTGTTTCTGCAACCATATGTTTATTGAACATCTATTATGTGCAGGGCACTATTCTAGGCGCTGGGGATGAAGCAGTGAGCACAGCAGACATCATCCCTGCTGTCAAGGGGCTCACATCTCAAGGAGAGATGGGTGAGGATAAATAAATGATTAGGACGTATCAGACAGTGATCAGGTTGTGCCTAGGGGAGGGGTTCTACCTTAGGCCAGGGGTCAGGGTGAGCAGAGGCCTGAATAAAGAGGGAGGGCTTCCAGGGGCAGGCATGGAATGTGACACCCAGGCTGCACAAAAAGGCAACTGGTTCTTTTTCCTTTGACACTAGGGCTGAGAGCACTAACCTGTGGAATCAAGCAGTGGACCCTTAGGAAGGCCAAGGTGGGCAGCAGAATCTGGTCCCAAATTGAAGCTATAAGTAGGGGTTGAACTTTCATGAGGCATGACGAAGAACTCAGACCCCATCATGAGGGCAGTGTCTGTAGGTCGGAGGCTCCTCCAACTCCTGGATCAGGTGATAGAAGAGGAAAGGATGCCTCAGGTGGGGACTTTACTCTGAGCCTGACCAGGCTGGAGCATCCCTAGTGGTGAAGGTCTCAGCTTCCAAATCACACAAGCCTGGCTTCTGAAATGTCCCCCAGCTAATATGGAGGTAGGGGAGCAATATATGGAAAGGTGAAGACTGGTCCTTCTCCAGTGGTGCTATTACCCTCACCCAGAGCCAGACAGTGGGCAAGTGTGTGTCAGATCAACGGTGGCAATTCCTATGTGAGTGACCAACCCCAGGCACAGCCAGTCACCCCTCTGAGCCTCGGTCTTCATATCTGCAAAATGGGCCTGATAAAACCTCAACATTGGAAGTATTCTATCGGACCCAGACAGAAAGAGCAGGGTAAAGTATATTCCAAAGTGATATGTGAAGGAAATCTTTTGTGGCAACATGGGTTGATATGTTATAGGACAGTGAGAAACGAGGAAAATTCCTAAGCAAGAGGAATAGAGAAACTGAGAAAAGAAAATTAAACAAGGCCAAATCGT